ACACACGACGACACACACACAACAAANAAAAAAAATATATATATATATATATATATATATATATATATATATATATATATATATATGTAAGTGTGTGTGGATATATGTGGGTATGTGTGTATGTATGTGTGTGGTGTACGGTGTGTGTGTATGCGTGTGTATGCGTGTATGTATTAATAGTCTACGCGAATCAATATATTTACACATGTATGCATATACACATACATATTGCATTCATACAGATTCATAATTCTGGGCAATGCATACCTATGTCAATGACTAAAGGAACTCCCTTCCTTTCGTCGGCATCGTATGCCTGTACCGGATCAGGCTTAGCGAGTATATCAATATATGACAAACCCCATACACGCATTCCTCTTTTGTTGTACTTAATGGGTGCAGCCTCCTCGTCCCCAATTACAATCTCCACTTCAGAGGGTGACGACTCCGTGGCCTCATCTTGGGACCGCTCTGCCATTATATTAGTATATACTGTTCAAACAAAGGGAAGAATGTTCCGATCCTGATAATATTTTGGTAAACAGTAAACAGAGATATAGGCGATATAAAACACCTTGAGCGTTGCACAACACTCAGAGCCCAAGATTCATATTCGTACGTAATACACGAAAGGTTTCCGGTCAGCGCCCACTGTGAGCTTGATACTATCTGGCAATACCGCAGCGTGCACTGCTTAGCTTCATCACACGTATGTACTACTGAAGTCTTCGGTCTGTGGTCTGTACACTATAGAGATATTCATTTATAAAGCATTGATTGCGTGTGAGACTGCTGAGAGTTGAGGCGCTACTAGAGCCTGCGAGTTCGCGACCTGTGGCTGTGGCTGTGGCTGTGGCTGTGGCTGAGGGTGATAGACTGATAGCCTGATATGCTATGGCCTATAGAGGGGTACATAGTTTCACAAGCCCGCCAAAAATAACCCTATGTGGAAATAGAAATACAGATGTACACAAATACCCAAAAACACAAATACCCAAAAACAAACCCTTATTTTTTCATAGCCTCCTGTTCAATAGGAGGCTATATTTAATTTTGTGTTTTTTTTAAAAAACAAAGAAATTTTAGGAGGCTATGAAAATACCCCAAATTCAAACCCTGCTAAATTTTAATTTTAGGCATTATATAGTATGTACCAGTACATGTCTAACATCTAAATTCTGAGGTCAGGTATTTATATCCCTCTTAGAATTCGGTCGACACATGAATATAAATACAAATCTGATCAAATATATACATACCAAAAAACAATAGAAGTAGCAAACAAAGCACAGGACGACTATCTATACATACGAAGGTGATAGATGATGGGGTAGTATCTACAGATCACCCGAGACACGATGCGCTTGTTGCAGTGATATCGCTCGACCCTCTCGACCTCAAGCTTGGCAATATCAAAACGAGTCTGCACTAGCATTCGTGTTTGTGCAAGCTCTATACGACGATTTCTATTTATTGAACCGTTGAGTATATTCATAAGTTGTGAATGTACACTGAATCGTAAAAGTACGTCTATGTATATGAACTTGTTGAGAGCGCACTGAGCTAATTAATATTTAATCATCTGTTGTATGATTTTGTGAGTAAAATAATGTGTTGTATTTGACACTACACTGAGCTGTCTGCCATTACAGGATGCTTTGATGAAGTTTCAGTAGGGAATATGGAGGCGTTATGGGACATTTGTGGTAGTCGGCGTATCCTACAACGAGTTCAATCCCGAGGAATCTAATATGTTTAAAATAATAAATTCATCTTCTACTTCATTTACATTAGGCTCTCCACAGCTGTTTGTGGTCTGTATACCCCTGCAGTGATAAGAAACACAACCTGACACGGCATTATCGTATTCGAATGGTACATTCGTCAGTGCGGCGTGCATATTGCTTTCAAACGCGTTTGCGTGTTGTACATACAGCTGTATTTTCTACAGTGGGATTGGTTGTTTATATAACTGTATTTATGTGAAGTGAATGGCCAAGGTTTATCTTGACCAATATGTGGTTCACTCCAGTTATGAGTTGTAAAACAAAGTGCTGAATTGATCAAACTATCCATTCTGTGTATTGTTGTTGCTCACCTCGTACAAGTGAGGAAAGTGACAACATCAGAATGATACAAACGTAGGTTTTATACGCCACCAATCGTAACCACGAAGTTGTTATATATTTACGACATGTTGCAAACTACAACTGTGCCGAGACTCTTGGGAGTTGGCACAAACTAGGTAATCGTAACCGCGAAGTTGTTATCCATTTACGACATATTGCAAACTACAACTACAACTGTGTCCAGACTGTTGGGAGTTCACTGTATACTAGTATATGACAGTCGTTTATTGCAATTGGCAACCTCTGTCTGCAGCATTTCTATTCTGGAGAGTCCGAATAGTCTCCGCATTTACGACATCGGACTGTGGAGGTTCCCCTACTAGGGCTATCTGGAGGCACTGACGCCACTTCCACTTCCCTTTTTACGTTTTCGGTGGTACCGAACTGTTCATTTCGCTCAGAGGTTACCCTGGGTCTATCTGGAGGCACTGACGCCACTTCCACCTCCCTTTTTACGTTTTTCTTTGGCGGCAACAGACTATCGGTGGTACCGAACTGTTCATTTCGCTTAGAGGTTACCCTGGGGCTATCTGGAGGCACTGACGCCACTTCCACCTCCCTTTTTACGTTTTTTCTTTGGCGGCAACAGACTATCGGTGGTACCGAACTGTTCATTTCTCTCAGCTCTCCGCTTGGCTTGGGTCTTGAGCTTATCTCGCTTTGCCTTCGCCTTCTCGTTGCGACCTTTGTTCCGGTCGGTCTCAAAGTAGTAGTTGACGGACTGTGCGCAATAGGAATGGGTTGAAACACGGTCTGTATGTATTAGTAGGAATTAGCATTTCACTCGGATCTTCATCTGTATACCACGATACTGTATGTCTACATACATATACGTACGAGTACGCGGAATGGGTGTTGCTTTTCTTCTTCTCGAGTTCATCTATCGATTAACATTCAGCGCACGCACGTGTATGTGTACAAATCCAACTCCTCAAGATACAAGAACCGACACTAGATCTATATCACATCAGCACTACACGTGTAGTAGGTAATATCCAAATTTATAATTGATATTCTAAGTAAAAGGACTCAACTAGAACGCGGGTGTATATTCAACCACTCACAAAGAACAGTCATTACATGTACCTTGTATATTTATGCATGCATGTGTAAAGAAAACAAAACTAGAACCACACCTATATACCAGTTTACACACACACAGACACACAGACACAGAGACAGAGACAGATATATATATATATATATATATATATATATATATACATATGCAACGGTATACATTGTACACAGTTATGCATTCGAATAACTTTGTAGATTTTGGTACCCCATTTGGAACCGTAGAAGAAGATTCAAAATGCACCCGAGCAAATATTTATATACAAGCAAGTGTATACGTTTCATACATTCATGACTAATAATCGCAAAATATACTATTTAGATTACTTGGCTACAGCATTCTAATACTACACATGCCTGGAAAGATACATATCATGTTTTAGCTCTGTCTCAGCACATTTGCTCACAATGCACCTCACTACACTCGTTTATGTACAGATAACAGTGATAAATCACGCAATATTAATATGAACCGTTACTTGGACATAGCAGTCTATTGATACAAATGCCTCGAGATAGATATAATATGTTCTATCTGTACCTAAGCACATGAGCTCGCCATACACTTCACCATACTCGTTTATGCACTCAAACCGTGCTGAAACATGCAATATTAATAGGAATCATGTACAATGTAGATTCTCCTACCTGATAGCAGATACGTATAGATACGTAATAGACACGTATAGACACGTATAGACACGTACACACGTTGACAGATTCATATCAATATACACATGTATCCATCGCAAAACCAAACACAATCGACCTTAAGAAACAACGATTTGAATACGGATAGAGAGAAATCATACCATTTTGTCGAGGAAGTCTACCAGCACTTTCTTTGCTACAGGGATTTTCGCATTGACCGTGAACTCTTGATGAAGTTCGTGGAATGAAAACGGCTGAGACAGGAAGTAAGGGGAGATAGTGTAGACACACTTGGTTAAGGCAGAAAGCAAGGGGAGATGGTGTAGATACACTTGGTTAAGGTAGAAAGCAAGGGGAGATGGTGTAGACAAACTTGGTTAAGGCCGACAGCAAGGGGAGATGGTGTAGACAAATTTGGTTAAGGCAGAAAGCAAGGGGAGATAGTGTAGAAAAACTTGGTCAAGGCAGACAGCGAACGGAGATGGTGTA